GGTGAGGTGCAGATAAGAATGAATGCAAATATACAGCAAGAGTGACAGATTAACCTTGGTCAAGGTTGAGCATTAATGCTGTAACGGGCAGGGAGCAACGTGGTGCCTGCTGAGATAAAACACACACATGCACACACAAAGACAAAGGAAGGTTTACACCTACATTTTAAAGACAAGGCTGTGGACACGCATACACGGAGACTGAGCTCAGTTGTGTGGGTATAGTCGTGCATATTAGTGCGGTACACAACTGATAATTGATTATTCACCAATCACTACAGATTTTTCTGCAATCAAAATACTTTCATCTCTACAGTGCCTTGTGAAAGTATTCGGCCCCCTTGAACTTTGCGACCTTTTGCCACATTTCAGGCTTCAAACATAAAGATATAAAACTGTAATTTTTTGTGAAGAATCAACAACAAGTGGGACACAATCATGAAGTGGAACGAAATTTATTGGATATTTCAAACTTTTTTAACAAATAAAAAACTGAATAATTGGGCGTGCAAAATTATTCAGCCCCTTTACTTTCAGTGCAGCAAACTCTCTCCAGAAGTTCAGTGAGGATCTCTGAATGATCCAATGTTGACCTAAATGACTAATGATGATAAATAGAATCCACCTGTGTGTAATCAAGTCTCCGTATAAATGCACCTGCACTGTGATAGTCTCAGAGGTCTGTTTAAAGCGCAGAGAGCATCATGAAGAACAAGGAACACACCAGGCAGGTCCGAGATACTGTTGTGGAGAAGTTTAAAGCCGGATTTGGATACAAAAAGATTTCCCAAGCTTTAAACATCCCAAGGAGCACTGTGCAAGCGATAATATTGAAATGGAAGGAGTATCAGACCACTGCAAATCTACCAAGACCTGGCCGTCCCTCTAAACTTTCAGCTCATACAAGGAGAAGACTGATCAGAGATGCAGCCAAGAGGCCCATGATCACTCTGGATGAACTGCAGCGATCTACAGCTGAGGTGGGAGACTCTGTCCATAGGACAACAATCAGTTGTATACTGCACAAATCTGGCCTTTATGGAAGAGTGGCAAGAAGAAAGCCATTTCTTAAAGATATCCATAAAAAGTGTCGTTTAAAGTTTGCCACAAGCCACCTGGGAGACACACCAAACATGTGGAAGAAGGTGCTCTGGTCAGATGAAACCAAAATCGAACTTTTTGGCAACAATGCAAAATGTTATGTTTGGCGTAAAAGCAACACAGCTCATCACCCTGAACACACCATCCCCACTGTCAAACATGGTGGTGGCAGCATCATGGTTTGGGCCTGCTTTTCTTTAGCAGGGACAGGGAAGATGGTTAAACTTGATGGGAAGATGGATGGAGCCAAATACAGGACCATTCTGGATGGAAACCTGATGGAGTCTGCAAAAGACCTGAGACTGGGACGGAGATTTGTCTTCCAACAAGACAATGATTCAAAACATAAAGCAAAATCTACAATGGAATGGTTCACAACTAAACATATCCAGGTGTTAGAATGGCCAAGTCAAAGTCCAGACCTGAATCCAATCGAGAATCTGTGGAAAGAACTGACAACTGCTGTTCACAAACGCTCTCCATCCAACCTCACTGAGCTCGAGCTGTTTTGCAAGGAGGAATGGGCAAAAATTTCAGTCTCTTGATGTGCAAAACTGATAGAGACATACCCCAAGCGACTTACAGCTGTAATCGCAGCAAAAGGTGGCGCTACCAAGTATTAACTTAAGGGGGCTGAATAATTTTTCACGCCCAATTTTTCAGTTTTTTATTTGTTAAAAAAGTTTGAAATATCCAATAAATTTCGTTCCACTTCATGATTGTGTCCCACTTGTTGTTGATTCTTCACAAAAAATTACAGTTTTATATCTTTATGTTTGAAGCCTGAAATGTGGCAAAAGGTCACAAAGTTCAAGGGGGCCGAATACTTTCGCAAGGCACTGTATATGGAAGAACAGGCTCAATGATTAATCAGGTGTAACATTGTGGGTGTGGTGTAAGAATGTTAACACATAATTCTACTTGTGTGATGTAGAAGATAATTATCAAAGTATGTAATTATGTGAGAATGTTAACAATCTGTAATAATTTTTCAGTACATCACTAGCGTGGTGTAGAACAATGTAGTAATACTGCTTGCAAACCAATGATGGTAAGATGATGTCATGGGGTAGGACTAGATAAGTCTAACTTCTTCCTACTCCGTTCAAGCATGTACTAGGTATAAGCAAATTGATAATGCATTTGTGGATATGTCTGGAATTATGTGTGTTGACATATTGACTGTCTTTACATGTTTGAAAGAATAAATCAAATCAAATCAAACTTCCATCATTAGTTTGCTGTGCCTGTTATTAAACCGGTCTCTTACACAAAATATGATGTTGTAAGTTCACTAGACTTTTTTTCCTAAAAATAAATACAAGGCAGAGATCAAGATACATTAACACAGTCTACATTAAGTATAGACTAAAAAATGTGGTAAAGTGTGTGATTCTTGTTGTCAGTGAGCATCATAGTGCATACAAATAAATTCACATGTGAGGGTTGTTTACTCTTATTCTTTTACAATATGAATGTTGATTATTTATTATCTCTTAGTGTATATTTGCACCTCCCACTTTCCTTCAAAGTGGCGTACAATAGTTATGCAATGCATATGTAATTTGAACATTTAAGTCCTTTCTGGTGAGAACTAGGATGACTATCTCTCGGGGAACACTGCTGAGAAGGTTTGTGCCAGCAAAGAGAAATCACACCCCTTTTTTAGCAGCAGCGGTGGTACAGTCTGGTTTTGTCTCAGTGTTTTGGGACTACCTGGACACTGCCAGAACAACCTCATTAGGCTGAGGATAGGGGTGACATGGGATCAGGGTTAGAGAGAGATTAACATGCCTATAAAGCTTCAGTGTAATCCGTGCACTGGAGACAAATTCAGAACACCAACAGAAATGATCTTGCTCACGACTCTGTTTTTTGGACCACGCAAACACCACTAAATAAAAGAAAAAGAGCTGAGAAATTTCAGAATTCTGGATTCAAAGAGCTACCATACCACAAAACAAAACCCTTATATGTGACTTTATAAGAGTGTTCATCATCACAAACAAGGGCAAAAAGGAACAAATCATGAAAAAGGGAAAGGTATGTTTTTAATTTTTCAGCCTTGTAGTTACAATACAGCTTTGCCAGACATTGTTTATTAACTGATTTCTTTAAATCTATAACATTTTAATATAATGTCTTGAGTTTATTTGAACTGTGATAGAGAATAATAATAATATAATTCTCTAAAATCAACAGAGACACAATAGAGGGTACAAATGTTAAAGCTGTGGCTGTGAGGTAGAGATATGGCTTTTCTGTTTCTCAAAAGCAAAAATTATCAGCCATATAATGACATAAAATTAAAATTTTGTTGTGTGTGTTTATGTGAAAGTGATGTTTGCTCTAGCCTTTATTGTGTAGTTTAGCTATGCTGGCTTCCCAGAGATGGAGGCCCTTCTCCTCCACCCCAATATGGAGGCTGTCTAATAGACAAATCTAACATGTAATGTGCCATATACTCACCACAGCCAGATATCCGTTGAAAGGAAAAGTATCACTGTGTTGGTTCCTCTCTGTGAGTGTAGAAGAATTTAAAGACAGTTGCGTTTTTATGCCACTGTAATAATCCTGCTAACCATTAGGTCTACCCCAGCAGGTGAGTAATGACGACGAGCCCCCCAGTTATCACGAGGCAACAGCAGGTAAAAACTAACCTCTTTGTAATCTGACATATTCTGTCAGTTAGAAAAATACAAACTGGCAATCATATATTCTAGTTCTACTCAAACATACAACATGCTTATACTGCCAAGTACTAGATGAAACAATATAAGACAGACAAACAGACATGACTGTTGGAAAAAGTTCTCTTTTTTGTGGTTAAATGTTTGGTTTCATTGCATTTTAATAGTAACTATAACTTGTGACTGGACATTACATAATGTGTTGAAATGTGCATAGTACTTGAAGGTAGGGCTGGCATTTCCTTCCAGAAGCATTTTTTGTAACATTTCTTGAATTTTTCTTTCCATCCCGATGGCAATGAATACATAAAATGCACTGACAACATAAAGGAAAATACCGTCCTCCGTGGCAGCAGCAGGGCTGAAAAACGCCTGACCAGTAATTTTACTCGTCCCAAGCATAATCACCGGATGGCATATCTGCCTGTCACAGCAGCTTACGTTCACAAACGGAGATTGTTGTTACAGGCCAGGCCTTCATAACCTTATAGGTAATGTTGCTGTTGTTGCCAGAAGACCGCTGCACAGAACAGTCTCCTTTTACATGCAGCCAAACAGTAGTCAGCTCTAAGTGTATAGATGGGAATATAAATGCAGTTAACTGGGTATCAAAGGCCACATGCAGGGTTCGTGTTACCAAGATGGAATAAAGCCTGTGTTTTGAAAGGCATTAGCTGGCCTGGTCAAATAAGGTGACGCCATGATGGAAAGTGGAAGGACGTTTGACAGTGTGGGAAAGCAGGTGACAGAGAGACAATGATCCGAAATTACCAGCCGGTGTCAGTCCACTGTGGACAAGTAGAATGTCAGGGAAGAGATATTCCTTATTGAACTTTCTCCTGAGCTTCATTCAGTCCTGGATCCCACATGGGCTGACCGAATAATCCTTTGAAGCCATGTATCATTCATCTTCAGTTTCTACAACTCCTCTTCCTCGCATGTCTACTTCCTGCCTCTGTCTGCAGGTTACGAGGAGATGCAGGCCCAGTTCTCCTGGGATGACAAGACCATCAGGCGGACCTTCATCAGGAAGGTACTGGAGACAGAATCAGTGAACACAATTTATACCAGCAAATAAAAACACATATCACAGTGACACTTCCACTGTTTGGATGTAATGCATCTCCTTCTGCAGGTCTATGCCATTCTCATGGTGCAGCTGTTTGTGACTGTGGCTATTGTTGGTCTCTTCACATTTTGGTAAACACTTTTGTTTTTTGTTTTTCTCTTTGTCCATATCTGTGCCAATAGTTACAAGTAAAGGTTTTGTTTTTACCATTTTGACCAGAATTACTAATTTAATTCATTTAAATTTTTTGTCTACAGCACACCTGTGAGGTTTTTTATTCAGACTCATCCGAGCTTCTACATGGCATCTTAGTATGTGAAAATGTCACTCACATAACTCACATTATATTGTCACCTTTTTATTAAATTAATTTATTTATTAAGTTTTATATGATCCTTTCTCCCTTTTGCCAACAGTCTCATGTTCTTCATCACCTACATTGCATTGTCCTGCTGTGGAGATCTGAGGTAGTATTACTTTGTAATATTAATGACAAACACAAAACAGTACATAAACCATACTGCGCATATAAAAATGTGTAATTTGAAGTACAGGAAAATTAGATTTCCTTCCTCTCCTAAACAGGAGGCAGTTTCCCTGGAACATCATTCTGTTAGTTCTCTTTGTGAGTATTTCACAGTATGAAAAACAGCACATTAGACTAAAATACAGCATGCACTTTCTTTACTCAGTATAGCTTTACTGTTCTTTCTCTTACAGACTTTGAGCATGGCCTGTATGATGGGATTTGTGTCAAGGTAAGTGTATAGTAAAATGAAAGGGTGTGTTTATGTGTAAGTGTCTGTGTGAGACACTGATTTTTAACCATGAAAGTCTTTCAAAGGTGGAAGAGAAAAGAATTATGTTAAGATATATGTGTCTGCTCTTCCCCCAGTTTTTACAACACCAAATCAGTGGTGCTGTGTCTGGGAATCACAGGTCTGGTTTGTCTTTCTGTCACCATTTTCAGCTTCCAGAGCAAGGTGAGAAGAGCTGCTTACATAACTTCAACCTGCTTTTAAACAATAATTAGATGATGTAATTAAATAAACCTCCCATGCGGTTGTCCTTTCACCTGTTGCAGATTGATGTCACATCCTACCAGGGTGTCTTGTTCTGTTTGTGTATGGTCATGCTTCTCTGTGCCATTGCCATCTCCATTGTCATCCCTTTTGGATATGTAAGTTTACCTCCTGCATTTGCACGCTTTTCACACACATTTCTAGAAGAAGTCTAAAATAGACCTGCAGTGAGTTGTTGCCTGAGGTGCTGCTGGCTGTATCTGGGGCTGAGTCAACAAGAAGGGATTAGACTCACAGATAATCTTAGCACTTTGCTCTTAAATTAGCATCCCACTATCCCTCTTAATAGGGGTTTGGAATGCTTTTTACCTTGCATCACAGGTCCCCTGGTTACATGCCATTTATGCTGTGACAGGAGCCATCCTCTTTACTCTGGTAAGAATCAGATACTTACGTAAAACATCCCACAGGATATAATTGTTCTTGCTTTCTTAATTTCCTTCTCTTTCTCTGTCTGCTACAGTTCCTGGCATTTGACACTCAGTTGCTGTTAGGCAACAAGAACTACACCATAAGTCCAGAGGAATATATTTTTGCCACTCTCAGCATCTACCTGGACATTATCTACCTGTTCAGTTTCCTACTACAGATTGTGGGCGGAGACCGAGAGTGAATAATCGTATCCACTGTTCCTATTTCTCTGGTTTTGTATTACTCTCAGTGGTGGAAGAGGTGCTCAATTCCCTTACTTAAGTAAAAATAACAATACATACAATCGTGTAAAAATTCTTTGTTACAGGTAAAAGTCCTGCACTCAAAATGTTGCTGAAGTTAAAGCACAAAAGCGTTAGCATCAAAACATATTTACTGTAAAGTACTAAAGGTAAACGTAGTCATTATGCAGAATTGCACATTTGACATACAGTGCCTTGCGAAAGTATTCGGCCCCCTTGAACTTTGCGACCTTTTGCCACATTTCAGGCTTCAAACATAAAGATATAAAACTGTAATTTTTTTGTGAAGAATCAACAACAAGTGGGACACAATCATGAAGTGGAACGAAATTTATTGGATATTTCAAACGTTTTTAACAAATAAAAAACTGAAAAATTGGGCGCGCAAAATTGGGTTGCTTTGGATTATGAGCACGTTGCAGGAACGAATTATACTCGCAATCCAAGGTTCCACTGTAATTTTAATTACTGCTTGGTATGTTGTAATTTTTCTACTGCAGATCAATCAAGTCTCATGATTATACTGTAATTTTGTTTTAATCTGGATCAGAAAAGTAACTAATGTTGCAAAATAAATGTAGAGGAGTAAAAAAAGCACAATATTTACCTCTAAAATGTAGAGAAGTCAAAGTATGAAGTAGCACAAAATCAAAATATTCAAGTACAGATACCTCAAAGTTGTACTTAAGTATGGTGCTTGAGTTACTTTCTACCACTAATTACTCTGGGGTCTGCTGTGATACCACCATCCTACAGTGTATGTTTAAACTGTCATTAGGCTCATAAGTGGGTAAAAGCAGCCACAAAGTTGAATATGAACAGTTTCCTTGGCTGCATTGCTCTGTTTATCCACTACTGAGCCAAAAATGAAGATTCAGGAACTTTCAGGCTCAGCAGAGTTGAGTTTGTTTTAATAGCCAAATGTTTCACAGCCTGTGTAGATACAATTTGTTTTATACTGTACATGCACAGAATCATAAATGACAGTTTAATGTTTTATGGTGTGTGTGTGTGTTTGATATGTTCACACTAGCAGCTCAGTTTGAGCATGACTGTTTTGGAGGGAGATAGTTTATTAGCAAAACCCGAACCAGCGATTTCATCTAGTAGCTACTGTAACAAAGTCCAACCATAAAGGGAAAATGAATGTATAGCACCGCATATCCAGCAAAACCTTGTAACTTTGATATATAGTAATTGTTAAAAAGCGAGTCAAAATAGTCCCCTGATCTTTTTGAGGCTCTGTTTTTAACTGAACTCTATGACTTTCATAGTAGCAATATTTCACTAGATATACAGGCCCATGGGCCCCCCAGCTTCTTGGGCCTCTGGGCCTGTGCCTAGCAGGCCTGCCTGGTAACTCATTCATGTCTGCTTGTCTAATGCATACTGGGATAGACTCCAGCATGAGTGACATTTGGGTTACAAAAATATGTTAATGCAGTTCACTGCAATTTTATTATTATTTTAATTAGGTAGGACTAAATGACACATTATTATAAAACTGTTAACCAGGCTTCACAAATGTATGGTAGTATAATAACAATTGCAATGCTACATACGTAAATTGGGGTAGTATTATTATGTGTAATTATTACTACAGTGATGCCACTTCACATTTACTTTTCATTGACTCACATGAATTTGCATGTATATTAAACACAGTTGGTGTTCAAATATCTTTCTAGGGAAATATTGACTAAATAAAATTAAGATTAAATTATCTTTTTGTTTGCAGGATTTTTCAGGATTTTGAAAAGCGACGGGTCCTAAGCATGAGTGTATTTTGAAAATGGAGAGATCACCACAACTGGATGTCGCCCTCTATAAGCCACAGTCAGACTGACAGATGCTTGTCTGGTTTGTTTAACATACAGCACAAAATTTTAGAAAAAGCTTTAATAGGGGATCTTGGACATGTGTGTCAACATCTTTAGGAGGTAATGACCCACCCGTCTGTTAATAATGTAGCTCCTCGAGCTGCCATAACACAGGTAATAAAAATACAGTTCACCAAATTATTGAAACAAGGCTTTTATTAAAAAAAGGAAATAAAAACTGACATATTCAAATTCAAAGAGAAAACCAAGAAAGAAGGAAAATCTTATCTCAATCCAAAACAAAACAAACAAACAAAAAAAGCCACACGCACACACACACACAAAAGTTACAGACAATTTTAGCAACTCTGGCACAGGAAGACAAAAGTAGCCAGTTGGCTTTGCAAAATAACCAAATATTATAACCTTTTTCCTCTAACAAAACTGTACAAAATGAGTTCTTGTATAAATAAAAAAAAAACTGTTCACAAGCAGGAAGTGAGATGAGCCCACTGCATTTTCAAAATGACTGTAATTCACACAAACTCGGTTCATACAGTGTCGAGCAACAAGACAGGTTTTTAGTATTTCTTGTTCAGAAATGTCATTTCAGGAACACATTTCTGAGTTGTGTAAAATACAACAATTCAAACTACCCATTAGCTATTTATTAGCATTAGCTATTTAATAAATAGTAGTATTACAAAGTGATCTAAAATAAAAAAAACTGAGGGCACTAGTATCAACCAAATTAAAATAAAAGAACACATTTTGAAAATCCAGACTGGGCTACATCTAACCCTCTGTTTGGAAATCCTGTTTTAGCAGCAAAACATTTTGAATCTATGAAACAAGCCATTAAATCTACATTTGAGTGGACAAAGAGAACAATTTCGAATTGGTGTGGACTAAAAATAAGTGCAAATATTTCTTTGAAATATTGTTTACTGTCTGTATAGCACACCACTGATTTTAGTATTCCTACAATTTAACTTCTATAATTTTCATGATGCAAATCCATTTCGGAGCACCACAATTTTCTATTATATTAACTCTGCTGACAAGTTTGTAAAAAAAAAAAAAACATTAAAAAACACTGTATTGTAACAAGTGGTCATTTCATAGTTCCAAAATCCTGGTTTTGTATTAAAAGTGATGGCTAATACATGGAATATAATTTCTCTGAACATATAAACAATGTCCATGACATTTTCCTTCATGGTGCACTGAATTGGAAAACTTGCTGTGTTATCTGGACAGGTCATAAATCATAACAAAAATCACAAAAGCAGACAAGAAGCAAGTGGAAAGAGAAAGAATGACTATTTACAAATTAGCTCTCGGGTCTGAAAACTCTCACCATCATACAGGCTGGGTGTCTTTGCGCCGGTAAAGTTCAGAATGAGCATGATTGCATGCACAACAACACTCTGACTTTTACTGAGGGAAAACTCAGTTTACTGAGTGCATGTAACAAAATCTGATAAAGCTGTTTATTTAGAAAATCAGATGAACTATTTTGATACATGTACTTCATATGACAGTTCCAGCAAAAAAGGTTCTTGCAAACATGGAATATTTTGTGTGCATGTAAACACCTTTACTGTGATCTTTCTGTCAGAAGGGAAGAAAAGGCATTTTATCCAGCTACCCAACAGATGATCGTATGCGGATGAGAGCAGCCTATCTGCGACACAGAGCTAAAAGATGGGTGACTACAACATCTTTGGTTGCAGAAATGAATGACAGAAAAAAAAAGCACAGCAAATCATAACGTGTGAAAAAATACAAAGACAAAAGAGAATCTTCAAACTGCGAGACTTCAGAAAGACACTGTGTTTTTCATTGTATTCAAACATGAATGGCTGAAGAACAGGAAGAGACGCTCCTTGTAACCCTACAGCTGACTTGACTGACATGACGGCGAACTGGATGGCGTTCAAACAAGCCTGCTGCCACTTCTATAGTATATACAACTTAGTGTCAGTCCTGTGAGAGATCAGGCAGTTCATCCAGAGAAACAACATTAAGGCTTAGCTAAAAACAGTTTTTGCTGAATTTTGGATCACTCACAAATTCATTCAGATTTGCTGTCTCACTAAAGGCTGTAAGAATTGTCTTTAAATGGCACTTCCATGGTTTAGTGAGCCAGTCCTTTGTAAAACCATTATTTCTATTATCTACATATCTACAGTTTTTGATGTCTGTATAAATTAAAGTTCAGAATATTTGGATGGATTGTTTGTGACATGAGCTCCACTCAACACGCTGACCGACACATACCCGGGCTCATATGTACGAACCCTCTTTGAGCCACAACACTGATGCAGCATCAGTATGAATCTTTTGGATCAGCACTAAATGACGTCATCGTTTGATTCAGCTCTCTGCTCTGACAGGGCTTTCTACAAACAGGCCTGATGCAGGATCAGGACAGACGACACAAGGTTTGGAACGGAAATTCATCTGAAAAACAAAAACTTGATGTGCACAAGAAAACAACATCAGTCCCTATGCAGAAAACACTAACATCTACCAGCTAGGAAGACCTAACATCTACAACTAAAATCTAATCTACTTAAAAGATAAACTCCTCAAAATAAGGCAAATTAGCTCAAAGGTTTTCAAGTGACTGACAAAAGAAACAAACAAGACATTTAACTTTCTACAAACCAAAAATCACTGACAATCAAACTTGGGCGACAACAGCAGCATTGAAAAAAGACTTACAGCTCCTTTTCCTTTTAAATTCAGGGATTTTGTTAGTCTTCTACTTGATTTTCCTCATTGCTTTTGCTAAACTACATCTTAATTTAGTAACTGCACTCTTCTTTGTACACATGTCTAACCGTTCAGATCTAAAGCATGCTCACGTCATCCCTAAGACACAGGATGATTTTAGTGATACCTGAAGGTTTGCCACAACAAAAACCGCTTAAAACCACTTCTCAGGAACGTGGATGTAACATGGGTGACCCGTTAGTATGGACAGGGCTGATTTTGATGGTGGGTACAGGGCTTGAACTGAACCGAATGTTCAGCCATGAAAAAACAGTGACTTACATGAGCCTTGATATTAGAGCTTATCATTAATGTGTGGGATTAAGAGCCATGAGATCCCATTTGATCTCATCTACAGTATTAACTTTTCATATAAATGTGTCTCAATGATCTAAAAACTCTAAAAAAGTAGAACTATAATTCAAATATAAATAGAAATGATTGTCTTTTGTTCAAATAATGGTTTCAAACTATTAATTTGACTAAAGTATAACCAGTCAATGTTCTTATCGTAACTAGATAAAGTTCTTTATTAATCCCCGGTGGGAAAATCTGGTGTGCAAGAATAGAAATCTCCGCAGCAATTACAGGAAGAAGTAGCTTTAAACGGTTTGTCTCCCACGGTTAACAATGACTCAACACATCAGACCAGCAAAAGTGAATGCAAGTGATTATATCTGTACAAATATTTGCTCCCGCTGCTGCAAATAGAATGTCAAACAACAGACATCAGGAAATAAAAATAAAAGTTTGCATATTTTACAAAAAAATAAAAGACACATTGTGTTTAAACACTTCCTTGAATCACTCTGAAACATCCAGAATGCTTTTTTTTTTAAAAATAAGAATTTGTTATATTACGCGCACAAAAATAATGCTCTGTGTCTTTTCCTCCTCCCTTAAGTTTTTTCTTTGTCTTTTTTAAAACTTCTTGTTATGTTCCTTTTTCAGTTATCAAAATAGATCAAAGCTTTTCTGAAGAAGATTCCCACCTTTGGTTGAGCAACTCTTGAGGAGAAAACTCCAATGATGCAACTGTTGTCCTTTTTCATAAAAAGAAAAAAACAAACAAAAACAAACAAACAAACAAAAAACAGACATACATTCAGGCAAGCGCCCACACACTCACACACAAAATGAATACACACAGACAAACACATGTTCCTTTTGTTTTTTACGTTCAAGTCCGGGTGCTTAGTGATGGTATGGAGCACACATCTCTTCCAGTTGAATCCTGCTTGGCTGGATTCATCGCGTGCCCTCGGCCCCATCTGACAGCATGGAAAACACATTCAGTACAAATATTTCAGTACTGACCAGCTCCAAACACTGCAGTGCTCACTCTGTTCTCTACACACATACTCTAACAATGTTAAATATGGCTAAACTGCTAAATAAAAATATTGTTAAATGATTTGTGTTTCTTAAAAACCTTTATACAGTAAGAGTCTTGCAATGAAACAGAAGAAACAGATTTTGTCTACATACTGGACTAAATCATGTCTCACTTAAAAGATAATCCATCACAAGCAAATCTGGTATTGACTCTCTTACAACAAGGCACCGTGACAAGTTGACTCTTCTGCTGTGCTCTCATGTACTATCAGATATCCACTATATGCCCATGTGTTGACCATCAATGTTAGCTCCAGGATGTATGTCAACTCTTCAGTGTTGAACAGGACTCTGCAGGAATGGGGCCTGAGTCCGAGTCCTGGACTCATGTCCTGACTCAGACTTGCATTGACTGCATTTGGACTCGGACTCACTCTTTTTTTTGTAATAGGCCATAACAATTTGGTAAAAGATATTGATATTAAAACCTGTTCATTATGCTGTATCTGGCACATTTCCATCGAAGCATATAAAAAAAAAAAGTTCTGACTGTTCACTACTAAGTAGTGTGTGTGTGTGTGTGTGTGTACTTCTGAGTAAATTTGTTTGGCTATTGTGTCACACACACTAAACTAACTCATTTTAAAATGATGAGAGCTGTGTCATTGTGTTTAATGGAGACCTTGATGACTCAGACTCGGGTAACGGGGACTAGACTCAGACTTGACTCAGACTTTTGTTTGGTGACAGACTTGACTCGGACTCGAATACTGGGGAATCGAGACTCGACCTACCTTAGCTTCACTTAGTGTGTTGGTACGAGTAGTTTGTGTGTTCTGCGGGAGTCTCCATGGCAACCTGCTGCTGTTGACCACCATTTTCCTGAAAACGACAGCTGGTTAAGCGATTTGATGATTCACAACAATATGTGGGTTAAACTGAATTTATTAAAGATATAAAGAAGACAGCCTGTATCTTCTCACAGCTCTCTTCATTAAATGCTTTGGTGCGGATGAACCAAAGAACAAAGGCTCGATTTTACAGGTGGAATCAGGTGGCTCACTTAAACTAAAGCCAGTCCTTACTGCCAGATGTATTTATTAAAAGGCATGCTATGATTTTAAGTGTTGCAGAAGTTTATTGTTGAGCTACATTAAGTACGTTATATTCCAGCCTCTTGACATCATTAATCCAATCACAGCCTTAGGTCCCTGGCTGACTACTGTGCCTTACCATTCATAAACAAGCCCCTTTTTTCATTAACCATGTTGCTCATCCCACAGGCTTCCACTGTTATCACTGTAGACTTCCAACAAATGACTCATAACTCCCTGCACGCTCAGACCCCCTGCTGCTGTAGAGCACTGAGCCAGGACCTGCTTCAGCAACGTCCACATACTGTGGAGTCTGTGTTCAAGTCTCAGTGAAATGACTCTGCATTCATGAGTGGCAAAGGGTCTTCTAGCTAAATAAATGAGGAGTTTATATAGACCCACACTGCATGTTTGGACAGCACACTGTGCTATTTCAAAATATATATGTCATATATATTAATATATTCATTATGTTGTTGATAATTACCTCTGATTATTCAAACAGAAAAGGAGAAGAACACAAGCATGCAGGATGGAAACAGACTACATAGTATAAGTAAGACAATTATCACTTGTGCTGTCATTCTTTGCACAATTTACTTCTGCATACCAGCAGATGTTAAAGTAGTCTTTCACTGAAAACTTTTTGCACCACAAAATATATAAAAATATTTAAAATAGCATTATTAGTGTTTTCTGAGACCAATGTCCTTAATGCGATAAGACCATTTTATAACAGAGTAGGCTACTTTTACAGTGTGATATTGGGACTTAAAGGATGTGAATACTTCCTCTATTACTGGTGCTAATATGCAAACTAACATGCTTTAGTTATATAACATGTTAATGCAATTTAAAATCATCTTTATAACAATTTATTTTTTAGGGTCCATTTAGTGCTGTAATCCAACTCAATCAACTGGCACAATCATTTGCAATAATCAAGACCCTTTTTTCATTCTTCTGAGGGTGGTTGTAGCTGATAATAATAGTAACTGTGTAATGCCGCATACCATAATACTGTGAAACTGTGATATATTCTGAGATGTTTATCATACCATGAAAATCTCATTCCCTTGCAACCCTATAAGACACTAAAAGCAGCAGATGCTTAGTAAATAAGTCCCAGTAAGAGCTGTAATCAGTGGTCATCCACTTTATGGAAACATGGAAGTACAAATGTGAGCAGCTGAGGTTGACGCTAACTTCGTACCTCTACTGGGACACTGGAGGGAGGCACTGGGGTGTACTGGGGGATGTAGGTCCCCTGCATAGTTGTGTTGGCCGGAATATACTGTAGGGAAGGCAGAGAGGAAAACACAAATTGTGTGTAGTACTCAACAGCTGAATAATTCAGCTTGTGAATTTAAGGACAGTTATCTATGGGGACAGTGTTTGCCTTCTGTATCACATGTGTGCCTGTGTGTGTGTGTAAGACTTGTGTACTGACTGTTCCCGTGCTGCCCAGGGACAGGTGGCCTAGCTGCTGGGTGAGAGGTCCCATCATGGACGTGGGCTGGATGGACATGGCATGATCCATTGTTGGGGTAAGAACTGTACCCTGTGAATGCATAGAAACAAATTCCACAATCTGAATCACTGTCATTAATATCACTGATGTGTTCACACGTGTGGCAGGCACACAGTAATCTGCCTCTATCATACTGGTACATGTTAAGTGTTTTCACTTTACAGAGCATCAAAACGTATGAGGGCAACAGCGATATCAATATTGATTACAGTTGAACTACGCTGAACGATGAACAAGAGAATGTCCGAGAACTATGAAGGGAGAAGAAGGTGGTGAAGAACTGATACTCACAGCTGGCTGCATGAGGTATGACTGATGGTGCATCCAAGACGGGCTGTGTACCTGTAGATCAGGAAACACATCATCAAACTCACTCTTATATTTGATCTGTTGCTCCCACAGTTCATCAGTGCCGCCTTTTCACTGCCTCCAGAACCGTCCTGTACTCAGACCAGCTGGACAGTTACCGGCCTATTTCTGCTAGGCCACAATACACCTTTGTGTTTCCACTGCACAGTGTGAGCGTTTCTCTTGTACAGACATCAACAGTAGGCTACAACAGAGCGATCATGGATTCTGCAAACATAGTTGTGGTATTGGCTTCCTTGTTTTTGTAAATCACTGCAGGCTCCTTCTACTTTCTTTCATTTTTTAAGATAGCGGGTCTCCTTCTTCAGGTGAAACACTTCCTGTTGTTCAAGATCTGCCAATCAGAATGTAGTCACATAGACGGCCAGGTTGGGGGCAGACTAGCGCCTTCTGGAACCTCCTTCAGAGCAGGGACATATATCACATTTTTCAGCATGTTTCAGCATCAATAATGCAATATTACTCTACTGACAAACCAACCTGCAAGGGATGGCAAGCAACCCCAACAACCACGATGCGAAGAGTCCTTTGCAAGGCTATGCACAAAAAGCAAAAAAAAAAAAGACTCTCGGAGACCTGTTGAAGTCACAGATGACAGCCTCCCCCATCCATCCATCCATCCATTTTCTTCCGCTTATCCAGGGTCGGGTCGCGGGGGCAGCAGTCTAAGCAAAGATGCCCAGACCTCCCTCTCTCCAGACACTTCCTCCAGCTCCTCCGGGGGGACGACGAGG